GAGCTCAGCCTTCTCTCCAGACAGTCAAGTCCTGACCAATGAGAAAGAACCTACAAACATGTTTCTGCATTTACAATTAAAATAATCTAATTGGATAATGATATATTCATTTATTAAAATTTTTATAGCTCAACTGCAAAGTATTTCATATACAGTATATAGTAGTTAATATAAAATAAAAATTGACAAAATAATTTAAATGTAACATTTCATATGTACTGAATTCTTAGGAGGTTGACACAGTGGCTCAGTTGGTAGAGCTGCCGGCTCTCAATGAGAAGGTTGCTGGATCAAATCCCCACCGGGGGCCGTTCTGGGTGGAGGTTGCATGTTCTCTTCATGCTGTGTGGGTTTTCTTCAGGTACTCCGGTTTCCTCCCACAGACCAAAAACATGCATGTTAGGCTGATTGGTAACTCTAAATTGTCCCTAGGTGTGAGTGAGAGAGTGAATGGTTGTTTGTCTCGTTTGTCTTTATGTGTCCCTGTGATGGACTGGAGACCTGTCCAGGGTGTGTTCTGCCTCTCGCACAGTGGCTGCTGGATATGGGCACCAGTGACACCTGTGACCCGAAAAGAAAACTCGGATAAAAATAATGGATAGATGGATGGATTCTTGGGCCTGGTCTGAAGGCGTTGAAGGCCCTGAGGGTTTCAAACTCCTCCAACACCATAGTTTCCCTTTTCAGACCTGCCTGTGTGTTTAGACACAAATGGACATACTGTAGATCTAACATCACTGCTGATGCCTTTCCATCTTGGCATTGTGATCACACACATTAAGGCTCCAGAACAGCAACACTTCAGCTTAAATAGAGACAGTCCCTATAACAGATGTTAATACAGTCGAGTGACAAGACCTGGGTGATATTTTATAACATATGGAAGCAAAGAGTAAAACGAGTTTTTACAAATACAGCAGTTAAGTTTTAGTAAATAAATACAAACAAGGATTATAACAGCACGTCATTCATCTCAGGTGGCATATACCTATGTTTAAGAACTAATTATGTTATTCTATGTGCACCAGAACTTTAAATTAAACAACTCAAACGCTTCTATGATTTAGTTGCTTTGTGCACATGTTTTAAATCATGTTGTTGTTGTTTTTTTAACAGAAACCTTGGAAAATCAGGCTTGCGTGTGTCCTGCCTTGGATTAGGTGAGATGGATTGAATTCTTGGGGGGTGGGGGAGCCACCTTTCTGAAACCCTAAAAGTAACGGATCTGTTTCCTTCTCTCGGTCAGGCACCTGGGTGACATTTGGATCGCAGATCTCTGACGAGGTGAGACCTCTGTGGTTTCTCTGCACCGTCGCTCGTGTTGATTTTAAAGAACTGCAAACACAAACCTCTGAATTTCCCATTAGATGTTTCAAAACTGCATAAATCTCATGAAATTAGCAGATTTTGAAGATTTATTTTGTGCCTTTACTGCATTGTCACTCCTGGAATACACAAAAACAACATCTGGGTGATCTTAATTGACTACATATGTCTGTGTCCTATATTTTATTTCCCTCAGATGGCTGAGAACCTCATGGCCATAGCTTATGAAAACGGGGTGAATCTGTTCGACACAGCAGAGGTGTACGCTTCTGGAAGGTCAGACTTTCTTCTCAAGCAGAATCAAATCTTTCCTTTTGCAATATTTCTGATTTTGTTTAACTTCCCTCTTAAGGCAAATTAACAAATTTAAAAAAATGTGTTTTAGATCATGTCTTAAGACATCACTTTTGAATGTTGTTTTTAAATTAAATGTTTGTATGTTTCTGTGCACCAGCCTAAATAATCATCTCTCTTTACAGAGCGGAAATCACTCTAGGGAACATTATCAAGAAGAAAGGATGGCGGTAAGATTCATCATGTTTTCTGGCTAACGTATAATCTATTAAACCACAAATACTTTTTAATATCAAGTATCTGGCTCTGAAAAGCACAGTATTGATTTTAAAATCTAAAAACCAGCCAATAGGGAGCGCAAGACAGTGAATCTCTTGTGCCGGCACCAAGCCTGTGTATATGATGAGGGTTGTGTCAAGAAGGGCATCCAATGTAAAACACTTTTGCCAAAACTAATATGCGAGTTCATCTAAATGATGCCATACCAGATCTGTCAAGGCCCGGGTTAACAATGACCACCACCGGTGCTCTTGACAAACAGGGTGTCAGCAGAAATTGTGCTACTGTTAGTCAAAGACTATGAGGAGAGAAATGTGTCAGGAGACAGAGGAAGAGGAGGAAAGTCAAGAATGTAGGACTGAGGGTGGCAACTCTAAATGTGGGGACAATGACAGGCAAAGGTAGAGAGGTGGCTGACATGATGCAGAGAAGGAAGGCAGATGTTTTATGTATGCAAAAGACCAAGTGAATGACAGCAAGGCTTGCAGTATTGGAGCAGAGTTTAGGCTGTTTTGTCATGGTGTGGATAGGAAGAGAAATGGAGTAGGGGTGGCCCTGAAGGAGTTGGCAAGGAATGAAGTAGAGGTGAAACTAGTCTAGATAGGGTGATGTGGACGGTACATGTTTGAGGACAGCAGGATTGTGGTGGGATGGGCTGAAGGAATGTCAGATAGCTTCAAGGTGGGGGTGAGACTGCATCAAGGGTCAGCTTTGAGACACTTCTTGTTTGCTTTGGTGATGGACAGACTAACAGATGAGGTCAGGAAGGACTCCCTCTTGACTCTAATGTTTACAGATGACATTGTGATCTGTGATGAGAACAAGGAACAGGTGGAAGAGAACTTGGCGAGGTGGAGGTATGCACTTGAAAGAAGAGGAATGAAAGTCAGCCGTAGTAAGACAGAGTTCATGTGTGTGAATGAGAGGGAGGAGGTGGAACAGTGAGGCTACAAGGAGCAGAGGTCACAAAGGTGCAGGACTTCAAGTACTTGGGGTCCACTGTGCAGGTAAATGGGGAATGTGGTAAAGAGGTGAACAAGAGAGTCCAGGCAGGATGGAGTGGATGGAGAAACATTTCAGGAGTGATTTGAGACCAAAGAGTATCAGCAAAAGTCAAATGAAAAGTTTACAAGACAGTTGTGAGACCAGATGTGTTGTATGATCTGGAGACAGTGGCATTGACAAAAAGACAGGAGACAGAACTGGAAGTGGTAGAAATGAAGATGTTCATGTTCTCCTTAGGAGTGACAAGGATGGATAAGATTAGGAATGAGATCATCAGAGGTACAGTTGCCAGGAAAAAGACAAAAAAAGCTAATGAGGCGAGGGGAAAAGAAGAAGATTTCTAAATTTAAACGATCTCAGTGAAAAATCACACTCTTCAGAAAAAATGGCTTTGGCCTAAAAAAAGATTTAAAAAAGAAAAGTGTTACCAAGTAAACTCCAAGATCATTTTTGTTGCCAACTCAACCAACTGGCACTGAAACACAAAGCAACGCGTTTATTATCTTATCACGGCAGTCATAAAACGCATGGAAATAATATATTATATCTTTGTTTTAGAAAACAGCCGACATAAATCTATCCACATTTTAAGGTACTTGAGGTAAAACTGTGCTCCTTATTACGTCTGTATCCCTTTCAGGCGCTCAAGTTTTGTCATCACAACAAAAATCTACTGGGGAGGCCAGTGAGTTCAACACTAAAATATCTGCTGTTTACTTCTGTTGTTTTACTGGAACATCAATAACTCGTGTCTTCATCGTTCCACAGAGCAGAAACAGAACGAGGACTCTCCAGAAAGCACATAATTGAAGGTAAAGCACAATCTACCTAAAAAATACTGGTTTGGAATTTCATTCAAGGAAAGGTCTCTGTGAAGAAGTCCACCTGCAGTTCAACTAAAAACAATTTAAAACAGAAAAGAGGCTGAAAATACTATATTTTCCGGTGTTTAATTAAATGAGATTGGGAACATCACCTTGACGTGGTGCACACATGATCCAGGCAAGTAGGTATCTCTGCAGACAAATTCGGAAGGCATATCTGGAAGACCACATCTGATTGGATGATAAAACAATGGGCGTATCTGGAGGGTCACACATGATTGGACAAAAAAAAAGGCTGAACCAAAAAAACAAGCCATTTGTGTTAACCACAGACATATTATGTCTAAAAACAAGGCGTTATTGGCAGATTGTGTTAACCACAGACATATTATGTCTAAAAACAAGGCGTTATTGGCAGATTGTGTTAACCACAGGCACATTATGTCTATGATGTTAACCAGTTCGACATTAGCGGCGTCTCCATAACTTTTCTTTCTGCCTCTCAACACAGAACTTCTGGTTACATTTCAAAATAAGAGCAACATAAATGTGTAGTGGGGAGTGCTAAATGTTTGTTTTTTAATACCTAGACATTACATTAAAAAAAAAAATCTATTTTTGTTGTTGAATAAAGTGAAAATAGTTACAATCAATTCATAAAGAAAGAGAAATAAAGTAACCAAAATATTAATGATACTTAAACTGGCTTTGGGACAAAGGATGTTTCCTTTAACTTCACATTGTCTTGTTAAACCTTTTAAATCAGTCACTGCAGATGAGTGATTGTCAGTTTCTATAAGATTTCTGCAACTGGAGCAGGTTAACCTCCTGTTTACTGGTTAACCTCCTCTGCTGTCTCACATTTTAAGGGTCAGTCCTACTCCATGTTTCAGCTCCTTTCATACATCAGGTCTCATAAAAGAACTTCTAAAGAGAACATTTTGTTTTTAGCTTTTGTTTTGGGCCATTATCGTGTTACAGGACTAATGATCTTTAATTGAGACCAGACTTTTTGACAAATTTAGCAAGTTTCGCTTCAGATGCTTCATATACCATACCATACCAATTTATTTATATAGCACTTTAAACAGTGACAAAGCACACCAAAGTGCTGTACAGGGACAAACAGAACAAGCACATAGCAACAGATTACATAACAGGACACCAAAAAGTAGAAACCAACAAAAACAATAATGAATAACAACAACAACCGCAACATGACCAACACAGTGTGATGCACACAGACTCGGCACAGATCACACAGTGCAGAAAGCCAGGGAATAAAAGTGTGTTTTTAAGCGAGATTTAAAAACTGTGAGGGAGGGGGCCTGTCTAACGAGCAGAGGTAACTCATTCCAAAGTCTTGGGCCTGCTACAGAGAAGGCCCTGTCACCTTTATTGTACCCAGACCACACTCAAACCAACCTGTGTCAGGTGCAGCCTACAACCCAAGGACTAAAGAGAATCTTCTTGTGTTTGACTGCAGATATAACGCTGGTTCTTAGAAACCTTCAGTTTAAAAAAAGACCTGACGTAACTTACCTAAAGAGCAGCAAATACAGCTAACCAATCAGTGTTTGTCCTCTACAAACACCTATTCTCTAGAAACGCCCACTTTTGGTCTGCAGAGAACCCCTTCTCGATCCAGGGGGCTATATCTGGGGTGCAGCCCCTAGTAGGGTACCCCATGACCAATTGTTAAGAGAGGGTCAAACTAAGAGCAACTCAAAGACCTTGATGTTTGAGAACGTCTAAATGGACTACATAACCCAGAATAGAGGAACTCTGGGCACCCTGGTGGAGCCAAGCCTGGGAGTGGCTCTTCTGCAGTGACCTGGTGGTCAAGCCTTGGCTCCTGGCACTCTGCTGGGCCAAGCCTAAACACACTATTGAGAGCCACCTCTATGAAGGCCCACCACCTGAGTTGCTTTTGTAGCATGGTTGAGCTGATCCTTGGAGACTGAGCTCCATCATCTGTGAGGAACTGAAGCTGCTGCTTCACATCAAAAGGGACTGAGGCGGTTCTATCATCTGATCAGGATGCCTCCTGGACGCCTTCCTCAGGAGGTTTTCCAGGCTTGTCTCACTTGGAGATATTGTGGAAGACCTCAAATCTGCTGGTAGGATTACAGTATATACATTTTCTCTAGTTTGGGAATGCCTTGGGGTCCCCCAGGAGAATCTGGAGAGTGTTGCCAGGGAGAGGACTGTCTGGGTTTCTCTCCTGGACCTGTTACCATACCTCACTGTTGTGTGAGGGATCTTTCCTAGTCGGATATACCCAGAAAACATCCAGAGCAAGGCAACCTAACAAGATGTCTGAACCACCTCAGCTGAATCCGTTAGATGTAGAGATGATGGAGCTCCTCACGTTATCTGACCAGGAAACTCATTTTAGCTGCTTTTATCCAGGATCTCATTCTTTCAGCCATGATTCATACCTCACGACCATAAGTGAGGAATGGAATGCAGACAGACCAGTGGATTGTGATCTTTGCCTTTTGGTTCAAGATTTTCCCTATAAAAAATAAAAGATCAATGATTTTATGACTGTGGACAAGTCGTCCATCTCAAACTCAGTCCTACCATCACTTGAGACAAGACTCCCAGAGCCATTTTTCACCTGAGATCCATGATTTCGGAGGAACTGGATTTAATGCCAGCCAGATTTTCATTACAATTCTGAATATTTGTTTCACATTCACCAATAAAAACATTTTTTTTGCCACCATGTCTTTCTTGGTGCGAAGCAGTTGGTTACTGGGTCTCTCTGGCATTTATAGAGCTGAGGTTGTAACTTAAAAAATATCTTAAATAATTTCTAAGTTTTTATTACATTTATAATATTTTATTTATTTGCTTTAGGCTAGCCGTTAAAAATTAAATTGGCATAGGAATTGACATGTTGATTTCCTGTTCAAGATAAAATACAATAACTTTTATCTTTTATCACACCGTCAGAATTTAAAGGAACATTAGAACCAATTGATCAACAATTACTTATGCATGCTGCAATGCATTTTGGGTAAATGACGCAGACAGGTTGCACCAGCGTGGGCTCCATTAAACTTGAATGTTAATTATGGGCATTATCTGACGTTTAGCTCTTAAGTTTGAACCGGAGCGCATTGACAGGGAGGAGATTGGAGAAATGTCTCCACTTTAATGTTAGCTCCAGAGCTAATACTGTATGTACAAGTGCATCTCAAAAAATGTGAATATCTTGAAAAAGTTCAATACTTTTTGTCAATCATTTCAGAAAGTGAACCTCATAGATTCATTACACACAGGGTTTAATATTTCAAGCCTTTACTTTTTTTTTGGTAATTTCAATTATTATGTCTTACAAATAATGAACAATTAAAACTCAGAAAATTAGAATATTCCGCAGGCAGCTTTTGGTACCTTTGTCAGTGTGAGCAGGAGACAAGTCCTGCTGGAAAATGAAACCAGCATCTCCATAAAGTTCGTCAGCAAAAGGAAGCATGACGTCCCTAAAATGTCCTGGTAGATGCTGCGTTGACTGTGGACTTCAGAAAACACAGAGGACCAACACCAGCAGAAGACATGGACCCAAACCATCACTGACTGTGGAAACGTCACTCTGGGCTTCAAGCAACATGGATTCTGGACCTCTCCACTCTTCCTCCACTCTGGGACCTTGATCTCCAAATGACATGAAAATTTACTTTAATCTGAAAAGAGGACGTTAAACCACTGAGCAACAGTCCAGTTCTTTGTCTCCTCAGCAGATGAGACACTTCTGACATTGTCTCTGGTTCAGGAGTGTCTGGACTTGAGGACTGAGACATTTGTAGCTCATGTCCAGGGGTTAATCAGCTGATCAGGGTGTGGCATCATGAGTTTACAATATTGAGGCTCAATGGGATTAACCTGTATAAATTAAGGTTGAATGAAAAATATTCTCATTTTCTGAAACATTGAATGGTTTTATTTTATTTTATTTGTAAGCCATAATCATCAAAATGACAAGAAGTAAAGGCTTGAAATATTTCACTCTGTGTGATTAGTCTATATTAAATGTGAATTTCACTTTCTGAAACGATTGACAAAAATATTGACCTTTTTCACAATATTCTAATTTTTTTTAGATGTACCTGTCTAAGAGGTTACATCCACAGCTAATAGTGTTAGCTCCAGAGTTAATAAATTAAAATATCACAAGTCGATCAAGTTCAATCGTTTCGTCTCATACATTGTGCATAAGAACTAAAACAAAGTATAATTTTATCATGAAGTTTTAACTTTTTTGTCTTGACTTCTTGTGCTTTATTCTCCACTATAACTGATGTACGTTATCACCACAGAATGCATTGCACTGGTAAAATAATGGTGACCTCCTTAGGTGCAAAATGTAATAAACATTATTTAAGTATATACAAGATTTCACTTGTCACAAACAACAAATTTTAGTAGAAAAGAGAACTAATATATTAAGTCTAATATGTGCAGGTAGTCAGAGATCTGTTTAATATAATAATTCACTGATCCTGATTATGTCATTCTTTAGATGAGTGTATTCTTTTCATACTGTGGCTCCTGATGCGTTGTTTATTAGCCATAAACACACCTAAAATAAGATAACATGATAAATATTCCACTTGTTAAATATTAGCCTGTAAGACTGAGTCTAATAACCGAGCCTTGTTTTTTGCAGGTTTACGAGGATCCTTGTCGAGACTGCAGCTAGATTATGTGGACATAGTTTTTGCCAACAGAAATGACGTCAACAGTCCAATGGAAGGTCAGTTCAACACCATTTTTCGTGTCCTACTAATCTGCATAACATAGTACAAGTTTTGTATTTTACTTGTCAAACTTTTGCAGAGATTGTCCGAGCCATGACGTTTGTAATAAACCAGGGTATGGCCATGTACTGGGGAACCTCACGCTGGAGCACCATGGAGATCATGGTAAAGAAATATTATGTAAATCACAATATTTCTAAATGCAGATCTTACCCGTTTGGTTTCTGTCTCGTTGGCACCAGGAAGCGTACTCAGTGGCACGCCAGTTCAACCTGATCCCGCCTGTGTGTGAGCAGGCAGAGTATCACTACTTCCAGAGGGATAAAGTCGAGGTGCAGCTTCCTGAACTCTACCACAAGATCGGTCAGACATCCACGCTCCCACAGCTTTGTTCACTCGGATGTGTTTAAACTGAAGCTTAATCTGTCTCACTCTTTGTTTCTGTCTCTCTCTCAGGGGTGGGGGCCATGACCTGGTCTCCTCTTGCTTGCGGACTGATCACGGGGAAGTACAGCGATGGCGTTCCAGAGTGCTCCAGAGCATCGATGAAGGTCAGTTTGACTTAACGGACATTCGTTGCCAGGTAAATTCAAGATTGTTGTTTTTTTTTTAAACATTTGGTTCTGATGAAGGGATACCAGTGGCTGAAGGAACGGGTGAACAGTGAGGAGGGTCGCAGGCAGCTGGCTAAAATCAAGGAGCTCCATCTACTGGCAGACAGACTAGGCTGCACCGCCGCACAGTTAGCCATAGGTAAACGATGCTGCCTTACCTTTCATCATTGTGTGGCTGGAAATTAAAATTGACCACATTTGTGTCACAGTTCTGGTCTATGCTTAAGCCTAAGCTTAAGTCTATGCTTATGCAGACCCATGTTCGTGCTGTTCTTCGGCATATTGTTTTAGTACTACTAGTGATTAGTGTATTCTTAATTTAGCATATTTCTTAGTTCATATCTTAGGTCTTATTACTGTTTTTCTTTCCAATTTATACTTTTGTTGGATGTAACTGGGACACTGTGTACACAATTGAGTTCCACCACATGTACCACATGTGATGTGAATGACAAACTTTAAATCTTAAACCTTAAAGCCACAAAATCACTACTCATATACTCTTATAAAAACGTACTGCCCACATGCAGGTGGAGTACAGTAAATCATCATCTTTAGCCCTTTTCAAGAATCAAAAGGAGCTGAAAGTGCTTCACAGCGCAAAAGTTTAAACGAACAATACAAAAATGCTAGAGTGCCACAAGCGAGGTTGTTGTATTGACTTTTCTGGACCATAACTTTTAATCTGTCCAAGAAAATTTAATGAAACTTTAATACACATAAGCATTATCACTAAACGGTGTCGCATACACTTTTCATCACCTCCGTTTCAAGGTCAAGGTCACAAAGGTCAAAAATAATACAAGGACTTTTCTTGTCCTGGTCATTGCTATAGATTGCTGTAAAATAGTTTGTTGATGGGCGTATAATATATATAATATATATATTGTCGTAATTGAAGGTTTTTAAAGGCAGAACCCAAGAGTGCAGGCAGGACTCGGGAGACTCGGTGGTTAAATAACACTAAAACAAAATGGCTGTCGAGGCAGCAAAACTTACATTACTGAGACACGTAGAGAATCACTAGGAGGCACTCAGGAAACAACAGGGACTTAGGAGGATTACCAGAGGAATACATGACGATGCCCAGACCAGGAATAACACCAAGACACAGAATTCTATACAGACACTGACGAGGACTAAACACAAAACACCTGTAAGGCTCACAGGTGTGGGAAAAGGGAAAGTACACGAGGGGAAACAGGACAGAGACACACCAATAGGGGCAATATCACCACATATATAATATATATTGTTTATTTGTCATATGCAGGCTAGCACAAAGTCAACAATGCACTGAAACGTTCAGAATGAGAAGAACCATTTCAACTTGTTATCAAAACAAGAAATACTATAGCATGCAATAAAAGTACAAAATAATGTACCAAAATGTGAAAAAATATAACATTTACAAAGTGCAAAAGAAACATAGTAAACAACATGCCATATATAGTGTTCTAATTTGTTTTAAAATTGATTTTTAACTTTAATCAGTGATTTTAATTTGTGCACCTGTCCAGCATTTATGAAAAGATAAACTTGTGATTTGGGTTCTGCTCTTTATAGAACCAGAACAAAGAAAATGTTGAGCCACTAGGAGCTCCTGACCTCCTGGTTTTCTCTTCCAGCTTGGTGTCTGCGCAGCGAAGGAGTCAGTTCCGTCCTTCTGGGTGTTTCGAACGCAGAACAGCTTATCGAGAACCTGGGTGCCCTTCGGGTAACATCTGTCTCCATCTGTGTTTTTATTCATTCATTCAGCCTTTATTTATACAGGTTAGTCTCATTGAGTCACGAGGATTCATTTTCAAGAGAGACCTGTTTTAAGCAAAACTACAGATGAGGTACACACAACAACGAACAGTCATAAAAAGCATATAAAATGAAAAGTTAATAAAGGAAGTGATATAAAACAAAATAAAAACAAGCTACATTATGAAACGAGGTAAAATACTAAAAACAGGAACATGTCTGCATTGATTTTTGTATTGAACTTAACGATTGTTTAAAATCCCTTAGAGAGGTGAAAGTCGACAGCTTCAGATCTTTTTGTAAGGTGTTCCAGGATACTGGAGCAGCGTAAGAGAAGGTCCTTTTGCTGAATTCAGTCCACACTGAGGATACACCTCAGGCCTTGATGTCTTGCGAGCGCACGCTGTAGCTGCACTAACAACGTAACATGTAGGAGGAGATGTATGAAGGCAGCAGACCAAGAAGTGACTTAAAGATGAAAATGAACCAGTGAGAGTCTGTATGAAGTTAATGATGACCAGTTGATCAAATAATACAAGGTGCAGTGATGAGCACGATGGTTACAACTAGTTATGAATCTTAGCGTGACATGATAGACAGCGTCCAACAACTGCAAGGTGCTTGCAGGAGCATTCATGTAAATAATGTCACCGTAGTCAATGGCCGGAAGAAAAGTCGTATTTACTGTACAAGGTGTTTCCATTCAGCGTTCAGTTAAACAAGATTTATTTCTGAAAAAGAAACCCAATTTTAATGTCAATTTCTTTATCAAATTATTGACATGAGGCTTGAAAGAGAGATGTGCATCGACCAAGATTCCCAAGTATTTGTAAGAATCAACAAACTCAATAGGAACACCATTCGTAGCAAAGACACAAGGAAGGACTGCTGGTACCAACTTCCTGTTTGAAAAGAACATCCCTTTGGTTTTATCAGCATTTAGCACCAGTTTAAGACAAAACAAATCTGACTGAAAAATATTGAATGCAGACTGTAAACGCTGGAAAACCTTTGCAACTGATTTAGCTCAACAATAAACAACTGCATCATTGGCAGAGAAATGTAAGGATGCATCAGGAATGATCTGAGCTACATTACTTATGTAGATTGTAAAGAGAGTGTATCCTAAGACTGAGCCTTGTGGTACACCTTTGTTGACAGTTAAATAACTGGAAGAAGTACCATTGTGTTGAATACGTTGTGTCTGGTCTGAGAGATAATTAGAAAACCAACCAATAGTGGGATCTGAGAGAGAGCTTATGACATAAGATGTCATGATCCACTGTATCAAAAGCTTTAGATCGGTCTAAAGTTTGATCCCAACAGGATGAGCTAAAATCACTTAAGATAAAACAAGATCCCATTCGTAATTAATATTTTGTTTCTTTTTCTTTCAGATTTTATCTCAAATGACCCCGCAGACCATCACAGAGATCGACGCCCTGCTGGGAAACAAGCCACATGCCAAGAAAGAGTCCCGCGCTTGAAGCTGCGAATTGAAGTGACCGAACAAAAACTCTGGGAATCGGCACTTTTTGCTCTGCTCTATACTCAACTTGCATGTTCTCCGCAACATTACGCTTCCAGTATGTGCGCACAATCATTCTGCGCAGTAAATTTTACCATGTATTTAAAAAAAGAAAAGTGGAACATATCTCTTAATTATGGGAAGAAAAAAAAAAAGCTCTATCGACCATCGTCCGTTGATCGCAGATGATCTAGAAGCCGACTAATGCTGAGCAGAGTGACGGAAACACAGAGGGATTCAGTTGGACTCTTGGTAGTCAAACGTTCAGGAGTGGAAAAAAGAAACCCCCACGTCTTTAGTAAATCGTAACTTCTCTGGTTAAATGGTGCTTTCTCTGGACACGTGAGCCTCATTCATTCGCAGCCGCCTGTGGTTCTGTCCGGTGTTTAGCACCAAATGAAAAGAGAGACAAAGGTTAGCGCTCGTGAATCTAATTCCTCGTAATGTGCATGTACGCTCACTGATTTACAGGGTTGGGAACAGTGGAATGCTCGTAGAGCCATTAAACTGACTCAAGTGCTTATACAAACAAACAAACAAAAATCATCAAATCTGCTTTACAGGAATAAAATGCAAACAAATAACCTGATTTAACCAGAAGAAGAATATAAGCAGGTGACTTTCCCAACCCTGCAGTCTTTTTTGCCTCCTCTTTTTGTAAACCGTGCGCATGTCCCTTTAAGAGAGAATAAGCCCGAACCAGGCGTAAATGTGGCATGGCTTTTATGGCTTATGTAGATTTGCAATGCCCTTGTAAGCCATTATGTTTTTTTTTATTTTATTTTCTAATCGGTCGGTTCGGCAGCTGTACTTCTGGGTCTCGCTTTAAAGGCTCAGCAGTTTGCAAACACGGGTGCGTCAACCTGAATCCTGATCTTTGCGTGGTCTTAAACGTTATGGGACGGTATTGACACCATTTGTGTGAAGGCTGTCTTCAAGCAGGGGGTTAAGACAAAGGAAGTGAAAATTTGGACACACTGTGAGGAAACTAGATTTGAAATAGCAGAGACAAAATAAGTCTGTTTATTAAATGTCGTACAACACCACTTAGGGTGTGAGTTAGCAAATGTCTTTTATTTCTGTTGAACTCAAAAATGTATTTTTTTTCTGCTTATTTTTCTATGAGTAATATCGTTCCTTTCCTTTAAAGCAATAGTTCAGAACTTCTGAAGTGGGGATCTGTGTACTGGTTATGAACAATTAATATCTTACATGTCATAGATAACCTATTATAGTAGTCCAAGTCAGATAATTCTACTTAAACACCCCTCAAAGTTGGGATTTTACTTTGAAATGTTAGAAATTCCTGACCAGTCGTGACCTCTAAATCCAATATGGCTGACACATGCCTCAAAACTTGCAATGGCTACAGTGATACACACTTCTGTCACTTGGTACCTCAGTAATCCAGTCCCACACATAGTCCTGACTCCTGTTCAACCACTACGTGTGAATATGTTGGAACAATATCTGAATATGTCATCTGGACTTCGTTTTTTT